AACTGAGGAATCAGATCACATGTGGCAAAGGGGTAGCCCCGACCAGACCCTCGGGCATGCTTTCAGTGCATCAGCTTCTGGTTTTGTTTTTTTCCATCTGGTTTGGTTCCTCTGCAGTGTTTTTGAAGAATTGCAGGCTGAGTCACTGATGTGTAGAATTCAGAAATTTCACATAAAGATCTGGGTCTCTGGCTTCTCTCGGGATGTCAGTCTGTAAACACTGGGTCCAAGTCTCCAGCTGGCAGCCACCCGGCCGGGGCCGAAGGGCAGCTTTTGGTAGAGCGTGTTCTTTCGGGCTCACCACAGACCTCACCAGTCCCTAGTGTGTACCCCAGCTCCTTCACTGGCTTCTGCAACCTCTTTGGCCCCCATTATGCCATTTGGACTCCCCTGCCCTAGAAGCCCACTGATGCTCAAGATTAAAAGAGGAATCTGAGACTTTCCCTTGGGCTCTGTGATGGGAAGGGGGCATGTGCAGGGGATTTAACTGGCTCCCCACCCCAGAATTCAGCACTTCCCAGTGCCTCAGTGTCCTGGCATTTCTCACTCCCCAGGCTGCTCTGTTTCTTCTGAGCAAGAAAGGGACATGGAAAGAGAACTTCAGAGCCAGACGTGCCTGGGGTTGAATTCCAGCTTTGCCACTTCCTAAGTAGCTGTCAACTTGCTCATCTTTAGAGATGATTTTTAATAAAATAATAAAAATAGTATCTTCAGGGAGTTGTTGAAATATTGAGACTGCATATAAAGCAGGTTGGGAAGGGACAAACTGTGGAAAGGTGCTTTCACCAGATATTATAATCCTACTTCTAGTAATCGTAGGCACTAACCGGGCTCCAAGTGATGTTCGAAGAACACGGTGCACCTGACCTCAGGGAATCCCCCTGATAACCCTGTGGGGTAGAAATGACCCCCACCGAACCAAAGACAAACACAGGCTCAGAGAGGTTGAGTAACTTCCCCAAGATTGCACAGATAGTAAATAACCAGAACCAAACCCAGGCATTTGCATTCTGTCGCCTACCTGCCTAACCACCATGCAGCCATGCCCGGAAGTACTACTGATCTTCCCGTTTGCATGACTGGCCAAGAGGGAATATGGTTGGATCCAAGGTCACCGTGAGGCCGTGAAAGACACTTTATTCTTTTCCCAGAAGGGATTCACCCTCGCCTGCATCTTATGGAAGCTGAGCAACGCCTCTGAGTCTCCTGCTTTCATCCTTTTCCCCCTCCTCCACGTGTTTTCCACAGGGCAGCCCAAACGTTGCATTTAAAATACAAACGGGATAATGCAGTGCCTGCCCCAAACCTTCCAGGGGCTTCCCAGCATGCTGAAAATATAACTAACCTCTCACTTCCGCCCAGACGTTCAGGACTCCTCTTCCCCTCCCTCCTCGCTCCAGCGGCACCAGCTCCTCCCAGCACCGGGCCCGCTCTGCCCCAGGGCCTCGCGTCTGGCTGCTCCCTCTCCTGTCCAGGCTTCCCCAGGCCTCACCCAAGCCCTTCTTCGGACCTTCCCAACTCTCCAATCTCCACTGTCTGCCCCCAAACATGTCCGGGACCGTTAGTGTCTGCTCGGCTGGGCAGGGACTCATTCTGGTTCACTGCTCTTTCCAAGGGCCACTCTGTACCGGCCTGGCCACAGGGGGTGTTCATTAAAAAGATTCCTGCGTAAAGGAGGGTTATTTACGGGAGGGGTTGCCCTGAGGGGCCCCACCTCTCCCCACATCCAAACCCTTGGCCATGGGACTCTGGGACGAACTCAGCAGGACGTGGGGCCTTTCTCCCCACCCCGGGATGCGGGCCCGCCTTGTAGCTTGCTCGCTAAGAAAACATGGCAGAAGGAAGCGGTGCTGGCCTCGAACCTGCGCCCCACACGGTCCTGCCCTACTCCGCTCTGCGGGCTCACTCTCGGAACCCTGGCACTGCCGTGCGGTAAGGCCCAGGCTCGTCTGGGAACGGGCCCCTCGTCCTGTGTTGGTTTTGCTTACGGAGAGCTCACTGCCATTCCTGCTGTCCCCGGGAGCCGTGAGGGTTTGAAGCGGGGGATGACGAAGATGAGGGAGCAGCCTTGGGGTGTGACCTGGCACTCCTGTGGTTCCCCTCCTCACAAGCAAGTACAGACTTGGGGTTCGCCCCTGATGGCTGACTCCCTTCAACTGGGGACAAGGGAGGGGCGAGGAGGCAGCAGCCGGGGGGAGCCCTGGGAGAAACCGACTCACCCCTGCTGGGTTCCCCACAGAGCTGCTGTGCCAGGACCCAAGAGATGAATGAAGCAGGAGGGAAACCCGCACGTGGCCGCCCAGAGCCTCTGGCCACCAGCAAGTTCCCACAGGGACCGCAACGGGCCACGGTCTCACTCCTTGTTGCTGAAGAAGGAAGCAGAGAAGTCGAGGCCCAGCCTCCAGAAGCACAACCCAGACCTCCTGGTCAGCGGTGCTGGTGGATGGAGACAAGACTGCAGAGGGGGCCTGTCACAGGGGACTCTGAGGTCACCGGCCTCATCACAGTGGCACGGCTTTTACCTGCTTGCTTCTCCTCACGTGCAGAGTCCGCGACCGCCATTCCCTCCCTGCCTCCCCATCACTGCTGGTCTGTGCAGAGCCGTTTTCTTTAGCTCACCCGTGGCCGCCAGCAGAAGGCCGGACCTCACTGGAAGGAGAGTGCGAGAACCAGGACCGGCGGCCGGTGGGAGAGCGTGGGAGAGCGTGGCCGCTGCGCCCACATTGGCTAATGACCCGCAGGACAGTGAACCCTAACACCTGGGGCTGTCCCGTCCATCAGAGTGACCAAAATTGGTCACGCGATCCAGCTTTGGGCACGTTAACCTCGACCTTGGCGAGAGCTAACCGGCGACGTCCAGACAGTCGTGGCCCAGACGCAGCTTCATCACAAGACGACCCTCAGACACTTTAATGCCCTGCGTGATTTCTAAGGAGGCTCCGTTGGATGTTCTTATTTCTGAGTTCGGGGCGTCTCCCGGGCAATGTCGGCGCACCCCCCCACTCTCTGTGGATGGACATTTAGGTCACCCCCAACTGCTGCCACCCCAGCAACATGGAGACAGACACCCGTGGCCCCCGTGAGTCTGGGGGCGGGCGGGGGGCCGCGGGGGGGTCCTGTCAGCAGCACTCCGCACCCCCACCAGCTGGCACCAAGCTTCCTACTGGCCTGGGGAGGTCCTTCTGCCGCCTCCGAGGGGGACTCGGCCCTTCATGGGAGTAAACGCCGGCCGGTGGGGCATGCCCCCTGGCGGGCACCGGGGAACGAGCGCCTGAGTGCCGGTGCCCGCATCTCCCCAGCTGCGTCTGGGCTCCGCCACCCGAGCCACGAGCATGGCACACGACGACTCTGCGTCCCGACTGAGGGACGCCCTCAGCAGCAGTCCACACTGACGGAGGCGGCGTGCGTCAGGGGCTTCCTCGGGGAAATCAGGCTCCGGGGAGCTTGTCGGAAGGGGCGGAACCTCCCCAGCCAAAGCCGGGCTTGCGCGGGTGGCAGAGGCGGGGAGGCCCGAGCGAGGCGGGAGCCGGAGTCCCCGTGATCCCTGCATGACGGGCCAGCGCTGGGCCAGCGGGGTCGCAGCCACTCACCCTTCCCGTGCCTCCGTTTCCCCCATCTGTGTGCTGGGGACAGGCTTGCTGCACTACGGCAATAAACCAGACGGAGGATTTCCGCGCCTGACCGAGGGCCTGACCCACAGCCAGGAGCGCTTTGTCCTGTTGTCACGGAACCCCACCCTCAGAACCCCCCCCCGCCCCCGAGGTCCTGCAGCAGCAGATGCGGCTTCTCAAGCCAGTTTCCTCTGCTGGCCGGTGGGCGCGGGGACACGGCATTGTGACCAGGGCGCGTGTGGGAGTTCACGCAGGGCAAGCCAGGAGTCTGCGTTCCCTGCCCCACGGCACCTCCAACCCGCCCTTCCCGCCTGTCACACAGGGCGGGTGTTGCGACCTCGGGGCTGCTCCAGGGCACCCTGGCGGACACACGCCATCCCAGCCTCCCTCAGGGTCTGGGCACTGTCCTGCCTCACGGCTGCTGGAAGGGGGAGCCAGCCTCCAGCTGCAGATGCCTGACGGTCCAGCTCGTGCCCTCCCAGACTCCCTTGCGGCCAGGGCCTGGACTGTGGCCGGGGTCTTCCAGGTTAGGTGCTGCGGCACCTTCCTGAAGACGAAACAGCAGGGCTTGACCCCAGGATTGTGCTGAACAGAGCACAAGGCAGGTGGGGGTTGCAGGAGCTGATGAAGCAGGCCAGGGTCTGCACTCCGCAGTAAGCCACTCCCGGACCTCCCCTCTGCAGGGTCCCGGACCAGTGGCCCCCAACCTCATGCCCCATCCTCATTGAATACTGGATCCCTCTCTTGACAAAATCGGTTTCCCAAGACTTACTGATCTGGTATTTGGGGGTCCCCCATGAATGGGTACCTCCCCCCAGGAAGACTCCGGCAATGGACGTAGGGACCACTGCTGTTTACAGATGTGGACACTGAGACCCAGAGCGGGTATGAAAGCTCCAGCAGCCAAAACGCCACAGGCCGAGGTTAGAACCCAAATGGGTCTGTCTTCAAGCCAGTCCCTCTACTGAGCATCATTCTGGCTCTAAGGGCGGCAGTGAAGACACCTGCTCCTGGCCCCCCAGGGCGCTGGATGAAACCCACCTCTGAGGCTCCTCTCCAGGCTCAAGGAGAGGAACTGGTGCCCAAGGTCCCCCCAGGACACGGGTGTGGGAGGTGAGGGCCGCCTACACAGAACCCGGGACTGCGCGGGCACCTCTCATCAGTAACTTTATTACTCTCCAGATGCTGGTGAACTGTGGCCTCCGCGGTGCTTCCCCGGAGCGGGCATCTCTGTCCATCACGCGCCCTCCCGTCTCAGAGAGGGGCAAGCCCAAGGAGCCCACGAGCAGAGCCCAGTCCATCCTTCAGAACCACCCCTACCCGTGGGGAGGGGTCTCCTAGGGACAAGACGTCTCCTTCCTCCAGCCTCCTCTGGATCAGGGGCCCGCGCTCCTCTCCTGGGCTCCGGCCGGCCTCGCTGGGCCCCGCACGGCAGGTGGAGAGGACGGGGGCGGCGGGCTCGCGGGCGCACCTGCACGGAGTGGGACGGCCTGGCAGGCCGCGACAACCGGATAGGGCCGTGTGGCCTGGGACAGAAGGAGCCGAAGAAACAAAGGTTCCGACTGGAGCCGGCGCAGGAGCAGGGGGCTGCGGGCCGGGGAGGGGCCGGGCGGCGGGCGCGGCGGCTGCTACCCCAGCGGCCAGGCCGGGAAGGGGCCCCCGCCGCCGGGGCCCGCCGCCGCGCACGCGCCCGCGCCGCCCGCCGCGCGGCCGTGGATGCGCTGGTGGCGCAGCACGTGCTCGCGGCGCCCGAAGCCCTTGCCGCACTGCCAGCAGGCGAACGGCCGCGCCCCCGAGTGCGTCTTGCGGTGGCGCACCAGGTGCTCGCGCCAGTAGAAGGTCTTGCCGCACTCGCAGCAGGCGTGCGGCTTCTCGCGCGCGGGCAGCGGGCGCAGGGCCGGCCCGGGGCCGCCGGGGTGCGTGCCGCGGTGGCGCCGCAGGTGCTCCTTGCGCCGGAAGGCCTTGCCGCACTCGGGGCAGGCGTGCGGCTTCTCGGCCGAGTGGCTCTGCCGGTGGCGCAGCAGGTGCGCGGGCTTCAGGGCGGCCTTGCCGCACTCGGGGCAGGAGGTGGTGCCCGGGGCCGCCGCCGCCGCCGCCAGGAAGGGGGATAGGCCGGGCGCAGGGGCCGCGGGAGCCGGTGGAGGGCTGCCCGGCTCCTGCTTGTAGGGACGCGTGGCCTGGGCGTCCCCCGTCGCCAGCACCTCCACCCCGGGGGTCGCATCTCCTGCCGGGCAAAGGCACAGAGTGAGGGCGGGGTGGTGCAGGGCACAGGGGGCGGGGGCAGGCCGCGGGGTGGGGGGGTCGGGCCTGTGTCAGTCAGGAAACCATGGGGGCGGGAGAAGGGCTGATGGGTCGCGGGGACCCCGCACAGTGCAGTCCGTGCCTAACAAATGGAGACGGCGCGCGGGCACGGCTGAGCGGGAGGAGAGCTAACGGGGATGCAGATGAGCGGCGTGTCCAGGAGCGTCAGTGGGTGGATGGTGCAGGGGCTGGGGGGGGGGGGGGGGGCGGGCAGACGGATGGACGGACTGGTGGACGGGGGTGGGGGGACAGATGGATGGACGGTGGGGCGCCAGGGTGGCTCAGTGCTTTAAGCATCCGCCTTCCCCTTGGGTCATGACCTCAGATCCTAGGACTGAGTCCCCCCTTGGGAGCAGGGTCCCTGCTCAGCCGGGAGTCTGCTTCTCCCCCTGCTCCCCCCATGCTCTTTCACTAAAACCTTTTAAAAAAAGATTCCTGGGGCGCCTGGGTGGCTCAGTCACTAGGTGTCTGCCTTCAGCTCAGGTCATGATCCAGGGTCATGGGATGGAGCCCTGCATCCGGCTCCCTGCTCAGTGGGGAGTCTGCTTCTCCCTCTCCCGCTTCCCTCTTTCCCTATCTCTGTCAAATAAATAAATAAAATCTTTAAAAAAAATTTTTTTTTTAAAGTTCCTGGTTTAAAGTAACAGATGGAGGGGTGCCTGGGTGGCTCAGTGGGTTAAAGCCTCTGCCTTCAGCTCAGGTCATGATCCCAGGGTCCTGGGATCCAGCCCCGCATCGGGCTCTCTGCTCAGCAGGGAGCCTGCTTCCTCCTCTCTTCTCTGCCTGCCTCTCTGCCTACTCGTGATCTCTGCCTGTCAAATTAAAAAAAAAAAACTTAAAAAATAAAGTAACAGATGGACAATGGAGAGAGGGAGGGAGGGACAGCAGGTGGGGGGGTGGATGGAGGAGGGGGGCAGTGGGGAGACAGAGGCATGAACGAGCAGGCAGGCTGGCCGCATGACGTGTGATGCGTGGCGTCTGAGTGGGGATCTGGGGAAACGGACGGGCGGGTAAGTCGGGGGACGATGAACCTCGCATTTCCTTTCTCCAGGTTTTTAAACTGCTCTATGGAGTTCTGGGGGGATGAGCGCCAGCTCACGATCCAGTTTACAGAAATGACCCCAGTACAACAGCGAAGCGTGAAGCTCCTGCCCCCACCCGCACGCTTCCTCCGCGCCGGCCACCAGCTCCCACGCCCGGGCATCCTGGCCGCCTCTCCTGGGTGCAGAGACACCTCTTGTCAGCGGCAGAAGCCACCGTCCCCACCTGGCTCTGGCCCTGACTTGCTGTGTGGCCTCAGGCACGCTGCTTGGACCTTGGGTGTCCAGTCTGCTGGGCACGGACTTCCAGAGGGCGCAGTGTACCCAGCAGGCCAGCCAGAGGTGGTGTCGGCTTGGTACACTGCAATGTGCTTAAAAATGTGAAAAACGTTTGAAAATCAGGCATGTCATAAAAACCCAAACTGTGGACTTTTCTTGAGGAAAAAATTGCTGATGTACTGGGTGCCAGTCCCACGTGGCAACACAGGCAGCAAGAGAGCTGACAGAATGGCGTCCGGCACACAGCTGGGACGCATGGTTAGGCACCCGCTATCCCGTCAGACCTCGCCGTGCCCTCTGTGAGGGCGTGTCTGACCCATCTCCAGCCCAGGTGCCCAGCTCAGGGCCTGGCACGTGGCAGGGACACCAGGAATGTTCACTGAGAAAATGAATGATGAGCAGGAGGGGGACCCCCTCAGGGTGGGGGAGGGGTGAGCTACTCACCTAAGGGCATCATCCCAACATCATCCTTTCCAGCGCTCACCCCAGAGCCTTCTGTCACATGCTGAGGTGTCCTCACTGCTGGTCCCTGAAATGAGAGATACCACGCTCAGAAATGAGAAACCACAGCGACAGGCTCTAATTTTTCTCCCCTTCAAACCCCACTACGTTCAGTCATCAAGCCCTACCATGTGCTCTGGGGGAAGCCGGCCATCAGGCCTCTTGCTGCTTACCAGGTGAGGGACCTGTCTGGGGAGCAGATCCTCCAACCCCCAGCTAACCCCCTCATGAGTCCCGGAGTCAGATCTGCCCCAAATTCCTGACCCACAGAAACTGTGAGACAACAAGCATTTGTTGTGGCAAGCCTCTAAGTTTGGGGTGATTTGTTATGTAGCAAAGGACAACTGATACAGCAGCTTTAAATCCTACCTTAGCTTCACAATTCCTGCCCTCTGGATAAAGTGCAAACTCCTTGACAAAATACACAAGAAAAACACATAAGCTATCTCTAACTCGGGGAAAAAAATAAAGCTCAGGAATGGAACTTTCCCCTGATCAAATGGTAGATCACTTCTGAGCAGACAGTGCCAGCCAGGAACACCAAAGGTTACTGAAAATGTTTCAAACTATTCTAGGTGTCTTTATGCTATTGTCATTGTTCTTAAGCCCCTGTCCCCAAAGAACAGATCAGAATCTTGGTGCGAACAAAGGAGAGCTGACTCCTGAGTTCCACACACCCAACCTCCTTCTCATATTTACTTTTTTCAAATGCAACACTTAGGGTGGAAGTCAGCGATGCCTAAAATTCTATCAGCTAGCAAGACGACTCTGCACGGGGCTTCCGGAGCTTTTTGCAAACGTGCATTGTCTGGGACCTGTGAACGCCCTCGTTGTCTGGTGGTGGCAGGATGAGTACTTTGCGTGGTCACCTTTGCTCCAGCAGGCTGTAAGCGGATTCCCGAGCACTCGTGCGGCTCAGGGTGTTATGGTGCCACAAGGTGCCGACCCGCTACTTGCTTCTGCTGTGGCCCACAGGCCAGCGTGCCCTGCCACCCCCTCCTCCAGCCCCAGCCCCGGCCAGGTCCCTTCCCGGAAGTCCACAGTAGAAAACTAATGATGCCCTGATCGCGCCAGGTTCTCCCCAACCTCCACTCTTTAGCATATTCTTCTCCAGCTCCCAGAGGACTCCCTCTCCCTGTCTACCTCAGACATGTCCTTCAAGACTTGACTGAGCCCCCATTGCTGTTACCACACAAATGTTTATTAGCCTCTGTGACTTAAGAACGGTCCCTATCCTGCTACCTGTCACACCACACTATTCAACATGGAGGTTCTATGGATGCACATTACAAATGCATATATTTAGGGACGCCTGGGTGGCTCAGTCATGAAGAGTCTGCCTTTGGCTCAGGTCATGATCCCAGGGTCCTGGGATGGAGTCCCACATTGGGCTGCCTGCTTGGTGGGAAGCCTGCTTCTCCTTCTCCCATTCCCTCTGCTTGTGTTCCCTCTCTCACTGTGTTTCTATCAAATAAATAAAATCTTTAAAAAACAAAAGATTAAAAGAACGCATATATTTAAAGCACAGGATCCCGTGAGTTCCAACATGCAGACGCTCCCGAAACTGCCACCAGTGCCGAGGTGGCAAGCGTATCAGCCCCTGGAAGTTTCCTTGTGCCTCTCCACAGCGCGGATCAGCGAACCCTGATGCACGCTTCCCGTCGCTGCAGAGCTGTTTTCATGTTCTAGAAACTTCATACATAGAACCACTAAGTACACAGGTACCCTTGTTCTTGGCGCGGGGGGTGGGGGGTCTTTCATGCGGTACCATTATTTGGGATTGAGGACGCCGGCCAACAGTTCTCTTCCTCGCGGCGTCCTTGGTTTGGCCCGCAGGAGGAGCCGGGAGGTACACCTTCTTCAGTTTTTGAAAAGTCTGGAGCTGGTACCACCTGGTCCTGGAGCGTTCAGGAGGCGCCCCGACAGCCACCTGAACCGCCACCGGCATTTCTATGCCTCTGCTGCCCATCTGCTCCCACAGAGGGCGGCTCCGGGAGGGGAGGGCCTGGCCCGCCTGCCTTCTGTGTATCCCGGTGCCAGTCCTTTTAATAACTGTCGCGAGGCGTGACTCACCTGCAGAATTCCCCCACTGAGAATACAATCCCGTGGCCTTTAGCGCATTCACGGGCATACGACCACCCCCAGTTCTAGGATATGTTCATCTCCCGCAAACTAAACCGCAGACCTAGTAGCAGTCGCTCAGGTTCCCTGCCCCAGCCCCGGGGAACCCGCAGGCCTGCATCTGTGGGTCTGCCTGTTCTGGAAGCTGCGTTAACGGAATCTTGCTGTCTACAGCCCCTTCTCACAGGCTCCCTCCCCCTTCCACATCGCGTCATGGACGGTCACTCCAGCGGGCGTGTGTGGCTGAGCAGCATCCGCTCTCGAGGCTGGACCGCGCCACTTCTCCATCCCAGCGGGCGCCTGGGGCACTTCCACGGCTTGCCTATTACAGAGCCTGCCGCCCGGCCGCCGCGTCACTCGCATCAGGGACAGATGTTTGTGGGCTCCTACGCCAGGTGGGGACTGTGGGCTCACAGGGCGGCCTGTGTTTAACCTTCACAGGCACTGCCAGACCTGTCGCGTGGCACATTCCCGCCACCATGGAAGAGGGCTGGGCTCCGACTCCCGGTGCCTCTTCTCAGTAGGCACCAAGCAAGTGAGTGACGGGTGGTGGAAAGGGTAAGGGTCAAACCGTCTGCCTCTGCTCTGATGAAGAAATGGTTCCTGAAGAACAGGGTCAAGTTAAGCGGGTACCGAGGTGTAGAGTCAGGGTCCGGCATGAGGCTGACTAGGTCCCTAGGTGCCTCCGGCCACAGACCTGCGTGTGGGACCCTGAGCATGTTACCTCCCACCCTGGGGTCAGGGCGGAGGGGCTGAAGTGGCACTCGGTCTCACCCCAGGTCCTGACCTGGACTGGCACGGCACAGCCGCCCGGGAGCGGGACATGGGCCAGGTGCCCCCCGCCGCCCGCCTCTGCTGCAGCTGCGTCGGCCCACCCTCGAGCACCATCCGGGAAGCCGCACCGCCAGCAGGCTCTCCTGGTGATTCTAGGGCACACACGTCCTCTGGATGGCCTGGGGCTCTCTGGTTTGGGGTCCCAGGCATGGGATGCTAGACTGTGCACCGAGCAAGACACCCAGGCAGAAGGGCCGTGGGGATGAGGCTCGGGCCCTGGACCAGGCACTGGGGGCTCCGTCGCTGGGGTACAGCAGGCTTAGAAGCAGAATCTAGAGCCAGGGCCTGTGGGTTCCACGCCTCCCTAACTAGCCCCTTGACCTCTGGCCAGTTGCTGACTTCCCTGGGACGCGTGCCATCACCCGGGAGACAGGGTAACACTGTGCGGTACTGACCCCTCAGGGCTGGGTGGAGACAGGCAGGCTGGGCTAACCGCAGGTTTCATGGGGGCCTCTTAGCCTCCACAGGGCTGGAGACTAGCGTCGGCCTTGAGGCTGTACAGCTGACCCCCAGGAAAAAGCCTGGACACCAAGCTTGGGAGCCTCCCTCGTCAGCACAGTGCTGTCCCCACGGTGCCCCCGGGACAGCAGCTCTCCTGGACCCAGCCCTGAGGGTTTCTCGTCTTTTCACTGAAACGAGTCAGAACTGGGAGCACCCCAGCTCTTGTCAAGTCCTGAGTCCTTCTCAGGAATTACTGAACCCAGGCTGGCCCCGGGGAGCCCCAAACCTGCAGGTGGTATCAGGGCAAGGGGTCCTCGGGGAACCCCTGAGCGCCGCACACGGAGCTGCCCAGTGGCCAGCACGGCTCGCCTGGGGCAGCAAGGACACTTGGGTTCAAGTCTGCACTTCCCACCCCACAGGTCCACCAGGTGGGGGGTGCGGGGAGCAAAGGCAGGAGGCCTGGCCACAGGGTCCCGCAGGGTCCCGCAGGCCATGGGGAGGGGGGGTCTTTCTCCCGTAGCTTCACTCTCTGGCCCAAGATGCACGGGCTCAGCAAGCCCCGTGGCCTGCCTTCAACTCTTGGGGCCGCAGCTGGCCTGCCCTCCTGCACGTGGGCCCCGCCAGCCTCTCCCCTGCTGGCTGTCCCTGCTCTCTTCCTCCGCGGCCCCAGGACTCCCTGAGCGCTGACCCCGGAGGCCCAGGCCAGCGGGCGTTTCCTGTTGTGACTGACCGCAGCCCGGGCTCTCCCCGCCCCCCGCCCACCTGCTTTCCTTTGGGTTTCCTGGGCTGGCCGGGGCGGACCCCTGGCTATTGTGTGCCGTCGACCAGACGGGGGGACTGGGCACGGCCAGTTCAGCCCTGCCCCAGCCGTCTCCCCTCACCTGCAGCTTGGACCAGGCTCTCGCTCCACAGATGCGACCGGCACTGCGCACTGCCCACCTGCACCCAACGGAGGTGGCCTGGAGGGTCACCCGCCGCTCCCCGGCACGCCCCTTCCGAGCACCCACCACGTACAAAACTGAAGGCACCAGGGACACAGGCTTGAACGGGACAGACACGGCCCCTGCTCAAGGACCCACGCTCTAGTCACTGCCACATGCGCCACGACACTGAAGGATTTCCACGAGGCCGGCTCGGCCGGGCAGGGATTTCCCTCGGCCCCCGGGGATCCCAGCAGCCAAGAACAGTCCTCAGAACCACGGAGGCCCGCACGCTGCCGGTGGCCACGCCAAGTGCCACCACCACCTCAGGAAGCAGCTGGGAGGCTTCTTCTAGAACCAAACACACCCTCCGCGAAACCCAGCCCTCGCACTCGGCCACAGCTCAAAGAGCACTCGTGCCCACGCAGACAGGCACGGCTCGGTCCTTACAGCAGCTGCATTCAACGCCACCCAGCACTGGAGACCACTTCTGGGTCCTTGAGCGGGGGAGGGACAGAGAAGCTGGCGTGTCCCCACCACGGGATTCCACTTGGCGCGAGAAAGGAACCAACCCCGACACACACGACTGCACGCGTCAGCCTCGAAGGCATGGTGCGGAGCGAAGCCACAGCTGCACATGGAGCTCCTCTTGGGTCTCCCCAGGAGACGCACCGAATGCTGGCAGCCCGCGGGGCCCTGCGGTGCCGGCACAGGTCCCTGTCCTGACTCCGGCAGGGAACTGGACCCCACCCCCACCCCCAAAAAGTTAAAAGTACACGGAAGCCAAGCACCTGGCTGGCTCAACAGCTGAGCGTGTGCTCAGGTCATGATCCCGGGCTTCTGGAATGGAATCCCTCCTCGTCCGCCCCTCTGTCCGTCCATCTGTCCGTCAGGCTCCCGGCTCAGCCGGGAGCCCGCTTCTCCCTCTCCCTCTGTCCCTCCCCTCACTTGCATGCCCTCTTTCCTAAATAAAATCTTAAACAAAAGCAGCCCACTGAGGCCCCGGCCCCTGCAGCCGGTAACAGCGAGCTCCGCGCCTGAGAGAGGCCCGGGAGCCAGGCTCTTTGGAGCTCCTGGGGGCCCTGGCAGCCGGGCCTGGGGCAGCACTAGGGAAGGCTCTGCCCACACACGGAGGACCCCGGCCCCATAAACACCCTCGTCCCGGAGGCATTTCCCAGACTCCAGCTTTCTGGGTCCCTCTGCCACAGTCTGAGGGCAAAGGCCTGATGCCCAGGTGACCGTCGCTCTTCACGTCTTTGCTTTAAACAGCTGTCCGTCCCACAGCAATGGGGAAGCAGCATCCAGGGGCCAGGGACAGTGTGGCGTGACCCCACAGAACAGCATCACCCCGTCCAGCGACGCTCTGGCTGGCTCCCCGCCCGAGGCTGCTCTCTTAGCAGAGGGGGAGAAGGACGCCCCAGCAGACAGGGAAGCTGTCAGAGCATCCCTGGGAACCACGACTCGGCGAGACTCTGACACCCTTTCCACACCGTTTCCGACTCCTCGGGCACCCAGCTGCGTCCGTGGCAGACACAACGGACCCTGCTCCCCTAGCAGAGGATGCTGACGTGTGGTGACAGCCCCAGCGTCACGGGAAGAGTCGAGGTCAGGAAAGGATGTGGCATTGGAAGCGGAGGCTGAGCGAGGCCCAGGGACGGAGCCCTCCCTGGAGCGGCCAGAAGGAACGCAGCCAGGTTCCAGCCAGACCCGAGGCTCCTGGCAGGAGTCGGCTCCTGGCCGCCAGAATCCCGGGAGAGCTCATCCGGTTGTCTCTACGGCACGGGCTCCGCGGTGCTGCTCTGCAGCCATGGGTTACGGGGGCAGCGGCGGGGAACAATGACCCAGACAAGCGGCCGCGAGAGGAGCAACGGAGGGGTGAGGCGGGCCCCAGGAAGCAGGAGAGAGTGCATCAGAGGGAGCCGGGCCAGAAAGGAGACAGGGATGGACGAGACCACGGCTGCGTGCCAACAGGGCACTCCCAGCAGGTGACCCGCCGTCGTTCTGACGGCCACTTGGCGTGGCCACCAGCAGCGTGCGGGCCTCCGTGGTTCTGAGGACTGTTCTTGGCTGCTGGGATCCCCGGGGGCCGAGGGAAATCCCCGCATGGCCGAGCGGGTGGTGACCCCAGCCTGGGACCCCGTGCTGCACACATCCCGGGCCCCCAGCTCAGCCGCCTCACACACCACTGCCAAGACGCTAAGAGCTTGGACGCGCTGAGTTCAATAATTAAATCCACTGTTCCTTTCCACCCTTTCTACCATGCTACGCGCTACGGGAACGTTCAGGACTACATACAGGCTCACGTACTACTGCTCCACGGACAGCGCGGCTCTAAACCGGGGGTCCGCAGGCTGTTCCTGCGACGGACCAGGAGTAAGGGTTTCCAGCTTTGCGGGCCACCGGTCTGCGTCCCCGCTCAGGCAGAAGAGCCACAGGAACTGTGCAGACGGACAGGCCTGGCTGTGCCCCTCTCCGCAAAGCCGGAGGGCAGGGGGCAAGCCTGGCCCACAGGCTCCGGTCGGGCGACCCCGTCTCAGTAAAGCATCTGGCCTCCCACAAAGAGAGGACTGGCGTCTGCCTCAGCCACCAGGTGGTGACCTGTAAGGCCTGGGGGCACCCTGCCTGACACAAGCGTCTGCGTGCCTGGGGGCCTTGGGCCACACTGGACAGTCCCACGGTACAGTTTGTATCAGAGACTTCCAGACGCCCAGGGTCTGCCCGGCCCCCACAGGGGCTAGAGGCGATGGGGGTCAGGCCTGCACGCTGGGGCCCAGCAAACTCCGGGCACCGAGGCTCAGGGAGCCACCCCGGCCGGCGACACTGCAGGCACGAGTCACACACCGTGGCCGGGAGGACTTCAGGCTGTCCACGCGCCCCTGTGAGAGGGCGGCCGGAGGCTCCGGGCCAGGGCTGGGGCCCTGCAGCTCCTTCCTCCGCCGACCCGATCTGCACCCTTCGGCCGTGACAAACCCCAATGTGAGCGAGGAGACGGCTTTCAGGTGGCTCTGAATCCTTCCCCGGAATGCAACTGGAGGGCGGTCCCGGAGACCCCCAAAGTTGCCGTGAGAGTCAGAGGGAGGGCAGTCTCGGGGCGCCCCCTGCACGCGTACACCCGCCCCAAAGCCTCCCACTCTCCCTTGTGCCCCGAGGCCTGAGGCCCTCCACCTCCAGGCAGCAAGGGGGAGGCCGGTCTCCAGTCAGGTGAGGGGGAAGCTGGTCCCCCCACCGCCCCCGCCAGCCCCGCGCTCACCCAGAGCTCCTCCAGCAGGGCCACGGCCTCCTCCCCGCTCCGGGGCCGCCGGCTGCACACCCAGGCCTGGACGTCGGCGGGCAGCGCGCTCAGGAACTGCTCCAGCACCAGCAGCTCCAGCATCTGCTCCTTGGTGTGCAGCTCGGGCCGCAGCCAGTCTCGGCACAAGGCGCGCAGCAGCCCCAGCGCCTCGCGGGGACCCGGCGCGTCGCCCAGGTGGAAGTGGCGAAAGCGGTGCCACGGCGAGTCCAGGGTCAGGCCCTCGGCCGTCTGGCCTTCCTGCTTCACGGGCTGGGGTGACGGGACCTCCATGGGGGTCTGCGAGTCCTGCGGGGACAGCAGCGCCTGTGGGGAGGGGAGTCAGCACAGTCAGAGCCCGACTGGGTGACGCGGGAAAGCACCGCCTCCCACCGGCTGCGCCCCAAGCACGCCCAGGTGGGAGCCAAGGGACCCGGAAAGGGGTGGTGCCTCTCTGTGCCTCCGTTTCCCCTCCAAGGCCGAGGGTGAGCGCCTAAGGAAGGTGCTGGAGGAGGGGAGACGGGACCCTGTCCGGGGACAGCACGGCTCCGGCCCTGTCTCCGCCCTTCCCTGCGGGTGACCGCAGGCCCCACTGCCCCTCAGTCTCCTCCCTCGGCTTTGTGTGAGGAGTGAACACACGGAGAGCCGGGAACAGCGTGGCACGGCCGGGCTCAGAAAGCCCCCAGCTCTCGCCGGCACCATCGCCACCGCGACTGCTCGCCCGATGACACGCAGACCCCGCGCCCCCCGCGGCAGGGGCTCCAGCATGCCCGCTCCAAAGCACCCCCCAGCCGCCTCCTTATCCACGTCCCCCAAACCCACACGGAGCGCTAACCCGGCACCCCGGTGTCTGGGTTGGAGGTGGGTTTGGCTGAAGCTGGCACAAGCTTCGGTTAGAAGACGCGGGGGCTCTAACGGACGGCGCTGTCCGCGCGGAACTGCTGGGAGCGAGCTTACACGTCCTCACCACAGCAAGCACCAGGGTGACGGCGTGAGTTGACAGATGTGAACCGCACTCACCATGGCGACCGTGTCACAACGTACCCAGATGGTAACTGAACGCAACGCTCTATGTCAATGACGTCTCAGTAAAAACGGGGAAAGAGACGAAGAGAAGCCATGAGGCCGGGGCCTGAATCCGAGGGGATCGGTGCCGCTAGAGGAACAGACGTCCCCGGGCGTGCTCTGCCACGTGAGGAGACAAGCAGGCTGCCCCCCAGCCCGGACACGGATCTGCCTGCACCCGACCTTGGGCTCCAGCCCCAGAACTGAGAGAAATCCGCGTCTGTTGCTGAGGCGCCCACTCGGTATTCCCGCGGCCACCCACGCCGTCCGACACACGGATGGCCCCCAGTCACGTCCAGGGATCGGGAAAAGTGGCGGACTGCGGGACTTGGCCCACATCCACTCTCCCCTTCCTCCTCTGCGCAATCCCCCCACCCTCCAAGGAAGCCGTGTGACCTCCACTTCCTCTTCCCCGTTCCCAAAGGAGGGGACCCAGACACGGCAGCGTCTCCACCGGGAGCAGCTGGGGATGTCTGGAGACTTTTGACTGCTGGATGGGGGTAGGGGAACGGGGCGGCGGGTGTCCAGCGGTGGGGAGGCAGCTGGCGGACCTACGGCCCACAGGGCAGCCCCGTGGCACAGAACGGTCCAGTCCCGAATGTCGACAGCACTAAGGCTGAAAGACCCCGGGCTAGAAGAGAGGTCCTCCTGTGGTCCAGGGACCCCCGGGGTACTGCAAGGTCAGAACTGTTCCCAATGCGGGCGCGCCGGGGTCTTCCACAGGCTGCACACACACATGCGAACGGAGAAGCCGTCTCCTTTCAAGTCAGGAATTGGAGATATTCGCAGAAAAACAAGGCCACGTTTCCAATGTTTTGTTTTGGAAAACACAGTTATTTTCCATTTTAAAAAAAAGGTTATTTATGTCAACATATGAAATGCCGACTACTTCTATTCCTATAGGTGTTGGTAAATACTTGGAAATTTCTTTGGCCTTCCGCTTTAATAGGACACTTACCCACAGACACAACTGCTACGAGTAAAGATACTTCGGGATCTCCAGTAACTTTTAAGAATGTAAAGGGGCCCCGAGTTCACGACACTTGAGAACCACTAGGACTGGGTCAGCCAACAGCCACCTGTGGGCCAGATCGGGCCGGCAGCCCATCTTTTTTTTTTTTTTTTAAGATTTTATCTTTTGGTTGTGGAGCTTGAACCTCCAACCCCAAGTTCAAGAGTCGCATGCTCTACCAAGCGGGCCAGCCAGTTGCCTCTTTCCTTTTTTAAAAATTTTAGAAGGTTTCTTATTGATTTATTCGAGAGAGAGAGGTAGCGAGAGAGAAAGCAGGAAGCAAGGGGGAGAGGAAGAAGCAGGCTCCGCTGAGCAGGGAGCCAAAAGTGGGGCTCTATCCCAGGACCCCGGGGTCACAACCGGAGCCAAAGGGAGACCCTTAACTGGCTGAGCCATCCAAGCACCGCCTTTTCTTTTAAATAGAGTTGTATTGGTACACGGCCGCCTACTTGCGCGGGCTCCGTCCCCGCTGCTTCTGAGCTCGGAAGACAGAGCTGCAGGCGAGTGGCACAGACTGAAGAACCGCAGAGCTGCCACGTGGCTAAAGCCACCTACTGTCTGGCTCTTCCAGAAACAGTCTGCCAAGTCCTGACGGTGGGAGACCAACACAGAGGGATCCGGGGCGGCCCCGTGGGTATCGGCCCTGACCCACGCCGCAACACCCTGCACTGTCAGGAAACCAGTCTTTCTACGGGGCTTGAGCCACTGTGTTTTGGGGCGTCGGTGGGGCAGCAGCTTCTCCTGATCAGGACTACACAACAGTTCTCGCGACCCAAGGCAGGAGGCAGACAAGGGCTCTGACTAGTGGGAGTCAAGAGAAAGTCTGCGTTTGAACGACTTTCCTCATGATACGAGAAACTTCTATGGCCAACCACAGTTTGCAGCAAAGGAGGTCGAGACAGGAATCCTTGGCTCTGGGACACAGGCTCTGCGTGGCTGCGCTGAAAGGTCCCCGGGATAGCCCAAGTCCAAAGCCCTGGCTCTTAAGTATTACGCACTGACCATGGACGTCCTCTCACTGTTGGGCCAGCCACCACACCCTCCCGCATCATCTCCCTGCTCCTGAGCCTGCCACCCTAGATGCAAATCACCCCACAAGAATCAGAAGCGGTTTTTTTTCCCTCAACACAAATCACATTATGTTACTTCCCCACTCAAAACCCTCTGGCTGCTTCCTTGCTACAGAAGGTCTCCCATCTGCCTACCTTTCTTATCTCTCACTGTTCTATCCCTGGCTCTCTCTACTCCCGCCACACCAGCTCCTGGATTATATTCTCAGACTCAATGCTAGTCCTACCCCAGGGCCTTTGTACTGCTCTTCCCCCCGCCTTTACTCAGCTGGCTCCTCCTCTTTGATGCCTCCATGCAATTTCCCCTACTCAGAGAGCCTCCTCAAGCCGTCCGATTAACACAGCATCCATACACCCTACCCTGCAGTTACTATCCCGTCACCTTTACTAATTTCCTTTAGTGTTTAACAAAACAAGGATATTCTTTGTGTGCTGTCTTCCTTCGTAAGAACTGACACTTCCGGAGAGCAAGAGACCACATTCACAGAGCCCAGCGTGCTGGCTGGCACTCAAAGAAAATTTATGGGATGATCAGTCCTATGGGATTTTAGTATTATTGCCCCCACTTTGCCAATGGAGAAGATGAAGACATCTTGCCTAAACTCACTCAGCTAGTAAGTCACAGAGCCTAAACTCACAGCCCTGTCTGCCTGGTCCACAGCCAGTCTGCAACATCACCTCCTGCCCTCCCATCCCTCCATTCAAGGGCTGGTGAGCCTGGGGCGGCAGGGAAGGCTTCCCAGAAGACCCAGGCCAGAGCTGAGTCTCCAAAGACACAGAGAAGCCCGCTTGCTATGAGAAAGATCCCCCCTGGATTGGACTAGAACCTGACCTGAGAGACCCAGGACTCAGGCATCACGCTGAAGGGTCCTGCAGTCTTGAGGGGAGGGGGCTCACAGGTTAGCCATCAGCTGTCCACAGTGAGTGGAGAGCAGGGCCAGCTGGACCTTCCTCTGGTTCCTGGGGTCATCACCCAGGAAGCAGGAAGGAAGGTCGTTCCACCAGGTGAACCAATCCTCACCCTCCACTGCGGTCTGGCCAGAGTGCTGTGCGCTACCCTGGAAGCCTCAGGAGACAGCTGCTGAGCAGGTTCCGCCTCCCAATGCCCCCACCCAAGCACCCCAACAGCCCTGCAGGTTGGGCACCACGACCAGAAGGCAACAGGATCACTCAGAGGCAGGATTCAAACCTGGAACTGTGGGACCCCAGAGCCCATGGGGTCGCACCCAGCACCTCTGCACAGCACGCTGGGTTAACTAAAGGGTTAAGAGGTGGCTGCGGGCCTTGGCTGCTTCCATTTCCAGCTCGGACATTTATCCAGTGCTTGACCCTGGACCCGTGACTTGCCCTCTGTGTACTGAATTTCTCCACCTGGAAACCAAGACTGATAACAGCTCCTTCTCCGCAAGGGGTTGCCAGGGTTGTGACCGAGAAGTAGCCCAGGATCCAGTAAGCGCTCAGGGAAGACTTGACTGTCCACTGCAGGGTTTCCAAATCTCAGCACCAGTCCCACGTGGGGCCGGATGCTTCTGTGATGTGGCCGCCGTCCCATGCCACGCGAAAGGTCTGTCAGCATCCCCGAAGCCAGCGGCCGTTTCCCCAAACCCCAGCTGTGACCGCCACACAGGTTTCCAGATATCGCCGTGTCTCCCCAGAGAAGCAGAATACGGGCCCCCAGCCCTGGGGCTGAGAGCCACGGGCCCACGGGACATACTTGGGGCGCAAGGGCTCTGGGGCAAGCCCCAGCTCTGCAACCGCCCAGAGGTCCGTGCTCGCACACGGTACACGAGCACCTGTTACACACGGGGTCCCCATCACCCGGGCTGTAAAATGGGCCGGAAAACCCGACAGGTGCGAGCGTCGCCGCCTGAGGGCGAGGGGCGAGGAAAACAGATGCGGAGCGCAGCGGCCGCGCCAGCAAGGGCTCGAGCACAGGGAGCCCCAGACGCCGGCACCCGCACCTCGCCAGCCTCGGAGGAGGGGGCCCGCAGGGTGACGGGGCCCGGCCGGGGGCAGCTCCCGCAGGCGACCCCAGCCTGAGCCCCGGCCAGCCGCCGGCCAACCGCCTCCCGCGCACCCGGCCCCGACGCGGGCGCCCAGCACCCGGAGAGAGGAGCGCGGCGGGCGGCCTGAGCCTCCGACGCCCCGAACTCCGCCCCTCCCCCTCCGGGGTCCTCCCCCGCACCCCACCCTTCCCCCTTCGGGACCCTCCCCCGCACCCCGCCCCCGCTTCTCCACTCCCGCAGGCGTTCCCCACCCCGCGGGGCCGCAGCCCCCTCCCACTTCCCGACCCTCCCCCGGCCCCTCCCCCTCCCGTTCCCGCTCCCATCCCCCCCGCCCACCTCCCGCTTCGCTCGGCCCCCCTCTTCTCCCCTCCACCCGCTCCTCCACCCCTCGGTCCTCCGGCCTCCAGCCCCCCTCTCCCCAAAGCGCATCCAACCGCCCCCCTAACCCTCCCTGCCCCCCTCGCTCACCTCACTCTCCTAGACGAGGCCCCCCAAGCCCCCTCACTCGTCGCACATGCGCACAAAGCTCACCGGGACTCCATACCCCGGCAGGCTTTGCGCCAAACTCATCCGTCCCCTTCCCCCCAACACTCAGACACCTAGCCTTCCGTTCCCCCCGCCCCCCACCGGCCTCACTCGGAACTACATTTCCCAGGAAGCATCGCGGCAAAAGGACGCGTCCCTTTAGCAGTTCGCCGTGACGAACTTCGCGCGCCCGTCTCCAGATAGCTCTGAACTACACTTTCCAAGGGGTGTCGAGGACGGCCCGCGGCCTACTAGCCCAAGCAAACAGGGCCTCTCAGCGCGCCAGGCTTGGAACTACATTTCCCAGAATGGCTGCAGGGTTTCCCCCCCGCCCATTGGCTCGCGCGCGGGCATGCGCAGACGTGCCGACGGGGAGGCCGAGGTGGGGAGGAGGAGCCGTCATGGCGGCATTGTCCCGAAACAGGTGGAGGTTGGACGCCGGCGGGTGCTCGGGAAATGAAATCCCGGGGCCGTCGCGGCGGGCAGGCGAGGAGGAGGGGCCTCGCCAGAGTTCGGCGCCGCTAGGCCTGCGGAGTGCGTCTCCTTGAGAGCGGGTCTGCCCGGGCGGCGCTGCCAAGGTCCGAGGCCGGAGCGCAGCGGGTCGCGCCTGGCTGGGGCCGACCCGGGCGCCCTGGTTCGGCTTCCCCGGCGGGAGCCCGGCGCACAGCGTCTGGCCTCGGGGTCCGCTCCTGCGTGAATCGCGAGAGGGTGCTGCCGGCCACACGTCGTTGGCGGGCCCCCATCGGACAGGGCCCTGCCTCAGTTTCCCCATCTCGGAAACGGTAGGGCGGGAGGAAACGCGAGGAGATGGGTCGAAGCTCCCACAAGCCGCGTGGGCCGGGCGTAGCGCTGGACGTCGTCCCACCTCCCGTTGCTTGAACGGACGGTGACTTCCCCCAGGTTTACCTGCGGTCGGTGGCCGAATGCGAGCTTCCCGCCGGGCCCACCGGTCTGCCCCTCGTTCCTCTCCTTCGTGAGTTCAGCCCTCCGGCCTCCTTTCTGCTCCAGGAGCACCGCTGATCCGTTCCCGCTCACAGCATCTCCAGAACTCCCTCTCGCAGATCTGAAAGTCTGCCCCGTTCTCCCTCCCACCCTCTGCCCCAGCCCCCGGTACCCCGTATGGGTGGCATTAGGCTGTATGTCTTCTTGGGACGGGCTGACTGCATGTAGCACAATGTCCTCTGCGTTCACCTGTGACGTGGTGCGTGTCCGAATTACCTTCCTTTTTAAGACTGGTTAAAAATTCGTTACGTATATGGATATCACATTCTGCTTTTCCATCCATCACGGGGCTCTTAAATCTTACAGGAACATGTCACCCTTGCTTAAAGCTCTTCAGTGCAGACTCTGGCCTGCAAGATCCGGCATTCCTCTAGTTTTAATGTGGTGCCTTGGTGCACATCAGAAGAGGTGGCCTCAGAAGGACTGCGGCCCGAGTGGGCCCGGGCCAGGGCATGGGCCTGGCAGGGAGATGGAGGGCGGGATGCAGCAACTTCTCCCAGAGGCCAGCCACTTGTAGGGAGCGGGTTCACCTCAGCTTCACCGCAGTACCCCGTTCCTTCAGGCATGATCGTGGTGCCCCACCACAGTGGCCTGAGGGTTCTGAGTCAGGTCCCAGACCAGCCACACAGCATCGCCTGGGGGCTGCTTGGAAATGCAAACTCTCACCTCAGACCCACCCATTCAGAAACGCGGGGGTGGGCCCCGCACTTTGCTTTAACAAGCCCTCCTGAGGCAGCAGGTGGGAATAGGCACCCCTCACAGGGTCCTTGTGCAGCTGCATGGGTGATAACATGCAAAGCCCTTACATCCTGCGGGGTGGAGAGGAAGGAGTTGATAAACACCTATTTTTTTTTTTTAACTTCACTTACAGTTAACGTAACTGATAAATGCAAGCCCAGCCCCCACGCCTCCCGCTCCATATAATAAAAACAGCTTACTTTCCCACAGAACGCCGTCTACTCATGTCTTGCGTAATTCATGTGTACAGGTCACCTCTTTTTTTTTTTTTTTTTTTAAGATTTTATTTATTTAGGGTTACCTGGGTGGCTCAGGCAGTTAGGCGTCTGCTTTCTGCCCAGGTCGTGGTCTCGGGGTCCTGGAATTAGCTCCTCCTCAGGCTCCCACTGATCCTCGCTGTCCCCCTGCCTGTACTCTCTCTCTGCCAAATGAATGAATAAAATCTCAAAAAATTAAATTCTATTTAGTTATTTACTATCTTAGAGAGAATGTATGTGTGAGCAGGGGGAGGGGTAGAGGGAGACTGAAAATCTCAAGCAGACTCTGCTGAACTCAGAGCCCAGTGCGGGTCTTGGTCTTAAGACCCTGAGATGAAATCAGGAGTCCCACACTTAACTGACTGAGCCACCCAGGCGCCCCAAGCCCTTTTAAACATGGGGCTCTGCATCTTCATCCTGCACTGGGCCTCACAGATTAAGTAGCCATTCATGTCACACCACCTCGATGACCCGTGTTGTGTCAGCACACAGCGCTGTTCTCCAGCGCCTGAGTGCACCATAAATACTGGTGAGGAATGGAAAGAAGGAATGACTCCCTGGATGTCCTTCTTCCACTTTTTCACCTGGTAACATACATTCCTCAGCAATCCATTTAGATGCTGCCTCTTCCAGGAAGCCTTCCTGGATAACTCCCACCCCAATAAATCTGGATGAAGCTCCTCATCTGAGCTTCCACAGTACCTCTTCTCTCCCATCTCGCGCTTGGACTATTTTTTTGTATCTGCCCTGCTCATCATCTGGCGAGCACCTCAATCACAGAGACCCAGTCGTCAGAGCTCCCAGCTTGGGGCCTGCCTGGGTGAGTGAATAAGGATTGAAGGAAAGTGGTTCTTTTTTTTTTTTTTTTTAAAGATTTATTTATTTATTTATTTACTGGACAGAGAGATCACAAGTAGGCAGAGAGACAGGGCAGAGAGAGGAGAAGTGGACTCCCTGCTGGGCAGAGAGCCTGATGCGGGGCTTGACCCAGGACCTTGAGATCAGCCCAAGGCAGAGGCTTAACCCACTGAGCCACCCAGGCGTCCCTAAGGAAAGTGGTTCTTAACCTTACTTCCCAGGCCTGAGGGCAAAAATTCTTTTGGCAGCAAATCTGGCCCTTATCCTACCAAAGCTCCTGGGCTCCTTTGTAGCACAGCTATAATTATTACTCAAAATAATAATTAACGTTTTCTCTTTTGTACAGTGCTTTAAAGCAGGGAGATCCTCCAGGGTGGGGAGGGGATTCTGTTCATGCCTGGTGTCCAGCCCCCGGCACCTGGAGGCTCAGGTGATGTTTATTGGGTAAACGGGTGATGGATGAGTGAGTACGGAGCCAGCCAGCCAGTCTGCACCCCAGCTCCTGGGGGCTGGATTGTGAGTGTGAGTCACCTTCGCCAGGCCCCAGGAAACCCTCAGGAATGAACAGTTAAATTATGAATGAATTGCTTAATGAGGGGCACACACTGCCTATTATGTTATTCTGCCCTACGCTCTCTCTCTGGAGCTGCAGAGCAGATCAAAGCATCAGCCCATTTTACAGCTGGGACAATTGAGGCTGCCCTAGGAGACAGACTGAGAGGCACAACCAGCAGCGGGTGCGGCAAGCCCGCTCTTCCGCCCTGTGGCCCTTGCGTGGCCCAGGTGGCAGATCTTCCACTGGCCGGGAGAGCCTGGACAGGCAGATGGTTGAGCAGGCCGCCAGCCCAAGGGAGCCAAGCAGACCTCACCTGCCAACCCAGAGAATTCCCTGGAAGTTCTGCCCAGCTCTGTTTCCACACATCTGCCCAGGGCAAACGCAGCCTCTCCGAGGCCACAGCTGTGAGCGATTCTCTCAGCTTTCATCCCCCATGTCTTGTCTCGAGGCTAGAGTTGGAGGGTTCTGGGGGTGAAGTCAGTGAGATGCGTTGGGCTAAGAGTTGGAACCGGAACACCTGCTGTCAAAGTCAGGCTGATGGAAGGTTCTGGAGTACTGGTCCCAGGGCACCTCAGGAGGGCTGGAAGGTGAGCGCAGCGCAGGGTGGCCGGGGGCTGAGGAGGCGTGATAAAGGACCGGGGTCACTCGTGCGCCGGGGCTGTTCGTGATTTCTGCAGTCGTGGTGTGTGAGTCCGCAGGCGCCATCCCAGACCTCGGGGCTTCAACAGCACAGTTATTCCCTCCCAGTTTGGCCAGAAACCCAAGATCAGGGTGTCAGCAAAGTTGGTTTCGCACAAGCACTAACCACTCTTAGCAAGAAGGCCAATTCTCTGGTATGGGATCCATATATAATGATCAATTTTCTTTTCTTTCTTTTTTTTTTTGGAAAATAATTTTTAGTTTCATTTTTCAAGAAAGAATTCCAACCAAGCTTGAAAATAACACTCTTGGGACCCCTGGGTGGCTCCGTCGGTTGGGCGTGTGCCATCAGCTCATGTCATGATCCCAGGGTTCTGGGACTGAGTCCCACATGGGACTCCTTGCTCAGCGGGGAGCCTGCTTCCCCCTCTGCCAGCTTCGCCCCCTGCTGTGTGCTCGCTCACTTTCTCTCTCTGACAAATAAGATCTTTTTTAAAAAAATTAAAAATAAATAAATACATAAATAAGAAAATAATTTTCTTGTATACATATGGAATACAGGTCTCTGTGTGATGTGGCCTTTCCCCAGTGTCCCTCTCCCGGGGATCCTGAGACCTCGTGTGCCCTTTTGTGCCATGCTACAGACGCCTAACGAGGTTTGACGTCTCTCCTCCACGCTGGACATCCTCAAGGAGGAAGGCCGAGGACCAGGGCGGGGGCATCCTGAGTCGGGGGCAGTGCCCCTCGAGTTCACCGAGACTGGGTCCCGCCCTCCTCTGGCCTCAGAGGTGGGACCAGCCACTCGAAACATCTGATGTCCTGCGATAACACCAGGAAAAACTGCCCACGGTAAATACCCGTCGTTGAAAACACGAGTCCTGCAGCAACGGGGAGTGTTTCTCAGAACCTCACACCCACTTGGCATTTATGATGAGCTTTTCTGGCTCTGAGAACAGTTCACGGCTAGAGGAGGAAAGTGAGCAGGTTCCACGGTTTGTTCACACCAACAACCACTCACCCCTCTTGTTAATGTACTCTTCCAGC